AAATCCGTGAACTCCTTCACGGATTTTTATAGTTGTGACTAATATTACATAACGTACGAGTATTTAGATGATCTATCATGCGGACCACGTATTCGTGCGTGAGCATCATCATAAATATTAGTAAATGTAAATTTTGCGAATGCCATTTTTATGGCGTCAGGTTGCGGTGTAGACATTTCTCCACGTTTACAAATGATCCAAGTACAGCAAAATTTCCTCAAAGAGTTAACAAACATTATCATTAATCAATTATTAACGCTTACAGAATAACTGTAACTTAAGTTTCACAATTTTAATAGATATTAGAATTAAAGAAATATAATTAAATATTAAATATTATGTAGAAATACATTTTTTTTGTATTATATTTTTATCTACTACTTCAAAACTTGTGAACTTAAATTAATCTTTTTTTTTAAATATCGATACGATTACATTACATAGATACAAATATTTTCATCTGAGATGAAAATCATGAGTAAAATGCATGTTCTTTTTTTTGGTCGAGTTTTTGAATTTGTTGGCAAGCAAATTAAGAGCTAAAATTGGAAAGGTTATTGTTAGTATTTCGCCGGATCTTATTAATGCATCATCACGATTTTCCCGTCGAGTGACTCTCTTATTTATTGTTCCATCGACAAACAGAAATGATCGCGCTATACAAAACTTAATTTTTCTTATAATTACGAGTAGTTTTATAATCATTTTCATTTAATAATTGTATCTATAAAAATTATTCTTTTCAGGTAAAAAGATAAAGAATTATTATATCTATATATTTTTTTGCAAATCCATGATATTTGTATTTAATATTTTAATATAAAAAATAAAAGCATTTGCAAATAATTATATCATCAATTTTCGAAAGATAAGTTTTATGTAATTTTCGTAGAATAGTGATATAGAAATTAGTGTTTCCGAATCTAAATTCATTTTTCGAAGATATATGTATATGTCGAGATTATCGCGTATTTTTTTGTATAAAAATTTTACGATATAAACCCTCAAGTAAATTATCTGCTCTTACCAATAATATTCTCCCTTCTTTCGTAGAGATTAACTTTCGCTCGATCAATTAATTGCGTTAGTTGATGAAGATAAAGTGCTATTTCTCGACGAGATGAATTTCGTGAATGTATCGTCACGTTGAAAGTTAAGCTGATCGGGAAACTTAACAAATTTTGACTTTGTGATAACTTTTAACGAAACAATCTATATACCTACATATAATTTACTTCATAAATTCTCATGTATATCTTAATTTTGATTAACAGACTATCTGTTAAAATATATTGTAACTTTTTTAAAATGCATAAATTTTTAATCTTAGATCTAATATTGTAGAGTGATTGATGAAGTATTTTCATAGCAAGATATTGGCATCATTTATGTATATTATTTATATGCTGTTCTTTGTAAAGCGGATTATGATGATAATAAGAATGTTATCAAATAGTCTAACATCTAATTGCATTAAGATTGTTATTATAACTGTGCAGATGAGAAAGGGAGGTTTCTTTCATTGTATTCAACAATTTGCCAAGTCTTATTACTCTACTCCCTTTAATGTCGATCAAGACGGAAAAGACTCCCGTCTGCCGTGAAAGTTTTTAAACACTTACATTGACGCAAGGATCTTTAAGGAAGTAGGGATAAAGTTTGCGTCGATGGTGAAATGTAATTACGAGGAATTCTAACGAAGCTGCCGGCTATGCTCTGGGTGAATAGGAAGGGAAACAACGCTCTTAAGATTATAATGAAAACTGCCATAAACTCGTCGTAGACCCTACCTTGCTGCCGTTCGACCTTCAATTTCGTCTTAATTGCGCTTTCAGGTTCTTCTTCACCTTTATTATTCTTGATTTAATTCAGTGCTGTCAATGGTCGCATCGTCTTCAAACACGCATATATTTCCATAAAACATTTCGAATTCTTTTTATACGAAAGCAATACGAGTAGTTATATAAGTATAGCTATCTACATATTTTACATATCAATAATATGTGTCTGAAGACGAAGAGATTTCTGATATTACGAGAGCGATAAGAACGATCACGATCGTTATCCTCGAGGCAAATGTAACGTTATACATCACGTCTAAGCCACGCGATATTAATAAAACCTGATCTTCCTCTATCGCGATCCCCGGAAGTAGATAGAAATATTTGTGAGTCGCGCGTTATCGTCCATCCGGCGTTATTATTCTGTGTGAGAAAGATAAAAAAAAACTAGTAGCGCCAAATCGGAGCGCGGGAAGTCATTACGGAAATCGACGGCTACCGTAACGAGGCCATTGCCGGTGTATCTTCTCAATTACGTAGGAAATTACCTGCATTCGCGAGCGTTCTTCTTATCAACGTTATTTCTCCCTTCCGTGCTCGCACGAGGAAATGCTGCGTCGTTACGGCACGCAGAAATACATTTTTTTTTCGCGGCGTTCTTTGTAAAAGGATATCCGCCAAACGATTAAAAATAGTCACAGATTATATTTTCGTGATACTTGAAGATTAAGTGCCAGCGCATCACGAAATACGCCGATTAAGACGCGTTCCCGCGCTTTTTGTGTCGCGAAAATCGCAACGTGACACGTGACCAATCGCGATCGTCCAATTAACTGAAATTGCGATTGCATTATTATTATTACGCGCATGTCACACACGCACGAATAAAAAAGTTCCTCGAGAATGCGGCTATGCAACTGCGATCATCGACCGGTGCATTGGAATGCATATCTCATCACGTAAATGAAGTCGGAATCGTTCGCATTAAGTGTGCGGAGATTATGCGATAAATGAAACGCAGTTGAAGTTTGATTGAATATTCTGGACAAATTCGATTTACGATTAGATTATAAATGGTTAAAAAATTGTCAAATGGATTAGAGAGATTCATTTATTTATTATTTAATTAATTTTATTTAATTGAGTTATTCTTTAATCAATTGCAATTTTAATACAGACCTTGTATTTCTCGAATTCTTTTTCTGTATTAAATTATTTTTGTCAAATGTTTAACGTGAAATTGGATATGGAATGATATACAGGAAATGTTATTTTCATTACACCGCTGGATTCAGTGACGTAATACAATATCGTGGATTCCCGAGTGAAATTATATTAAATTAAATTAGATAATTTTAAGTAATTTTATTGAAAAGTATTGTCTTCCTATCGCGCACAAGAAAGGAATTCTTATTTCGAAACCTGTTTTTCATCTGGTGTTATGCAATCATGTACTGGTTTGTATAAATTAATTGTATTATTATATACTGTGACTAATTGAATTTAAATTGCTATTAGCCAAAAAATGTGTTGTTTCGTAATAGTAATTTAAAGGTATTTTGTTACTTTGAAGGACAAACGAAATTGGCATTATGGTAACTGTTCCGGTATGATCGTTATTCGCGATTCAATAGCGCTGTTAGTATTCTTTGCGCACGTTCGCATACGTCAGTGCTTTAAAATGCAATCGATACAGTGGGTACTTGGCGAATGTAAATTGTTTCGATTTACACAATCAATTGACAAGGCTCTCTGAGATAACAAAAAACATCGCTATTGAGTATTTTCAATGTGCGTGCAAATGTAGACCGATGATAACCTGTGACGCGGCATTATTATATTGTGTGTATCAAGGAAACAAAAATCTCGATCTGCTGACATATTTCAATCAACTTTTTGATCATCATAAAATTTTTTCCCAATATAGTTTGCGCCCGATTTTCATATTTTGCCGCTACAATAAAATTATTTTAAAATAATATATAATCTCGTATGTGTCAGAGTTTGCAAATTACAAAATTGCCATTTTATATTGTGATATTTGATTTTATAAAAATATGTGAAATTTTTCAAAGAAGAAAATTAAAACCTGTAATAATTTTTTTTTATATATATTACATATATATAAACTTTTGTATGAAATTTTTTTAAATAACATTGATAAAACAAAAAGGAATACAAATAGATATAAAAAGAATATAGAACAATCTTGAGAAACTGTTACGATTCAATAATGATGAATAAATTTTCTTAATGTGTTTGCATTTAACTGCACTAACGGAACAGCTGATTTATATATGGACCGTTGGCACATATCCGTTAATAAATCATTAACTTCAATGACGGCTTCAAAATCGCTTCAGTCGAGTACGAAGGAAGATAGCGTAACGCAAATATTCTTATTTAAATATATTGCGAGAAAAATAGAATTTTCTCGTTTACTTGAAAATATGCGATTTCCTTTGTCCCTCAGAAAATGTATGCATAAATATATTCCTTCCGCTTATATATTGAAATTACAGAGCTTCATTCTCGCGTCAAATAAGTGGAAGCATAAAATATAATTTCTTCACTATTAACAGCTTGTGAGTTTTATTATCTAATAAGCGGGACATATAATAATGTTAAGAAGATGTATAAACTACCTTGGCCTTATACAACTTTTCCTTGAGATTATATTCCTACGTATGTCACTTAGCAATTAACATGATACTTGATATGTTTGTCATCTTTACGTAATGCGACAGTGCTGTCCATAATAACATTTGCATATCAATTTTTTAATTTCATTCTCCAATGCACACATGAGATATCTGCAAGCGAATCGTGTGATTTTCCGATTTTTCTGTCGAGAAAACTAATACGACACCATACATCGCGATTTCTCTGACTTCTCACGGCCAGTCGATAGTTTCTCCTTATAAAGTAGAATCTCTTCTCTCAAGGTCAAAGGACAGTGACGTCTCTGTTCAGTGACCTTATTCGATTCATGCAATTACTTATATCTGTCCTGGATTCGAAATATCCTTAGGCAGCAAAAACGTATCCTCGATTAGAGTGATAATTTTCTTCCTAATGTTGAAAATTTACAAAGACGTGTAACAAGAAATATACAAAATTTATTATATATAACAATGAAACGAATTATATATATATATAGAACGTGCATTTTATATATAATTTAAAAAGATCTAGTCTAATAAATAAAAAAATAGATAGTTTATCAATAATATGATTTTATATTGCATATTATTTTATCTTATCGAATTGAACTGAAAAGAGTTGCAACATACACCAATGAAAACCTAAACATTTAAAATATCTTTATATCGCATCTCTCATCGATGTCTTTAGTAAAACTGATTGAACAGGTTTATTTTAATAATAATCGCAGTTTTTCATTTCTCTCCTCTCAGCATGTCCCTATACGTTAACGACGGGGTCTCGAAAGACCCCGCTGTTAACGCATAACTTTTCTCGTCCAATCTAACACTTTCAATTCTACGACGCAACGACGTGCATCAAGCGGAGTCACGGCAACATGGTGATTTCTCCGCAGGAAGCCTCGTCCTCCAAGGTCAGAGGACAAAACTCTTCTGCAGTAACCCTGTCCAAGTCGCCGATGTCCGCTTTAGGCTTGAACGGCAACTCCGATACGAGAATTCCATCCTCGCGAACACTCTGACCTTCTTCCTCCTCGAACTCTGAGAAATCGTCGTCCGCGTCGTTCCTGATCCTCGCGCTGGCGAAATCGGCATCCGTAAGAACAATCGTCTTCACTCTTCGTTTCTTCGGCTTTTCCCGCGATATTTCCTTCGAGGCTTCCGATAATCTCTTCTTGCCGGGACGATGCCGATGTGATTTCTCGAGGCGACGCGAGGCGGAGAATTCCTCGATCTCGTCTTTCTCACGATCGCCGTTTTCATCGACCGTACTCGGTCGCCGCTCTTCGTCGCTGCCGCTCGACGATTTCCTACTTTCCAGCTCTGATTGACCTGGAAATGCGTTCTCCGGGAATGCATTTTTATCAGTGGCGCCGACGACGGCCGCGTTTTCGCCGGTACCACCTGCCACCGTTTCTTCCAACGTTCCGCTGGAAGTCCCTATTACCTGCTGACGAGTTTCTATAAAATCGGTTGGACAAGTCGTGTCAGAATCGATCTCCGTGTATTTCAGACTCGATTCGGTCGGACCCTGATCGACCACCTTCGTGTTTTCGGCGTCGACTCTCAGTCGCTGATGCTGGCGATATTCATCCTGTAAGTAGCTACGAAACTGGTCCTTGAAGTAACCATCGATCATCCTCCATACAGTCGTGCTATACCAGCTTAACACGCCGAGTAGAACTATTCCGCGAATGGCGAACGCTAACATGATAAGGCCTTGCTTGTGGGTTGATATTAGCGAGATTCAAATATGTATATAATTTAATTGAATTTAATTTTTGCGACGTACTTTAGAATTGATATTTCTTCGAAAAATTTAAATAGTTGTTAAATTCAACATTGATTTAGAATTAAAATTTTTTAACCGGATTTTATTCAGCAATTTTGCTAAAAGTTCTCTACGACGTTTTTATTCCTTCTAGTTTTAGAACTTGCAGCAAGAGAACTAGAGAGAGAGACAAGCTTTATCTTACACAAATATCACGATCTGTGCATCTGACTTTCAAATGTTGTTTGAAAAAAAGTTCTGACGGACGTTTATATTTGCAAGAATATTAAATCTTTTGTGAAAGCTCCACTATTATTCCTCGCTTACCGTCCTAGTATGGATCTCTCGCCGATCTTAAAGCAGACTTGACTGCGAGGTGAAGAGTAAATACAGGATAAATTATTTACACCCTACTTGTCAGTAATAAGCAAGATAAATTTTACGAAATTACAATCTATCAATTTAAATAATTTTCTGCTATCTGTTGTTATCAGTGTTTTCGGAATATTCGTCTGTTTTAATATCAAACGCCAAATTTTAGACACGTGCTGATTTATCAATGACATAAATAAAACCGAAGATATATCTAACAATCGTAATAATTGGGATTATTATTGAGAAATAATATTGCTTTATAGAGAAACTGCACTTGTTTATAAAACTGATTAAATTTATATATTTATTTTTAAAGTATATTTCCGGTTAATTAATTAATCCTCCTCTCCTACCAAGTAATCTTTGATAATGTAAAAGGATTCTTTCATATTCGGCCAAGCCATAGTCACAAAGACCAACATCGTATTCGCGATTACGAAAAGTCGCATCATTTCGACACCGGTGCTGGAGCGAAGCCAGTTTCCGAATCCTTGATTGTCGTCGTCGCTCACATCTCCCAAATCTGACTTCTCCGTTGCATTATTTCCATTCTGACGACCCTTACCGCCCTTGTTCTCGTTGTTTCCACGCTTCTTCATAATGATCGTGCAGGGATCATCTGCAAGTATCGATTTCAATGTTGAACACCGTAGAAAACATACGACACAGGCTGCTCCGCATCTAAATTGCTGATATATAATAAAAAAAATTTTTTAATGATATTTTTTAAAGATATTTATAATTTTATTAACTCATATAAATCGCGGAATAATACTTGGCACATTCACGAACAAGTGTCTACGACAAGAGGTAACATCAATGTTACCTCACAGTCGAGAAAGTCAAAGTCAAGTACACGCCCTCGTTTTCATACTCATCTCTTCAATTATAACTGGCCAAATATTTGATGAGGCGAGGTATAATATTGATGGGATGATGTAGCCCGGGCTCTTTCGGTACGAAACTACGGTTTGTGTGGCGCATGAAAGCAACGGTAGAGAGAGAGATTAAACTTTCGTAACTACGTGCACAACAGAGTGATTCTCCACTTACGGCAGAGGGATGTATCGTGAGTGAAGGCTCGCCGGACGTATCACTTTCCATAGAAATGATCGCGCGCAGCTCCGGGCTGTCCTTTGCCGATAACTGCCCCTCCGTTGCAATTTCCACGTTCATTGACCGCAAGCTCGCGGAATTGCGTCGCCGCGTTTCATGTCACTTTATTGCGTACAGATTGCACAGTAAGTGGTCCCGTGCAGAGAAATTTAAACTGGGACTTTAAGAGAATTTTTATTTTTATTTTATTTTGTTTCTGTCACGTACCAGATAAATATATATATATATATATATATATATATATATATATACCAGTAATAACGTTATTATGCTGTCAACGTGTAATTCTCACTTGAGCATCGATTATTTTTCGAGAAAGACGAAGCGTATATACCGATGCGTATTCGAATAGAAATAATCGAGCCAACTTTTCTAACTAGGTGTTCGACGGACGACTTCGGAAGTGGAGCATTGGACGACATATTGTACTGTTACCTCATATAGTGGCCAACTTTCCATTTGTGACGTAACATACTGTACTCATTTAATTATGGGGTGAGCAATTATGCAACTATTGGTGAACAGTCAGCAATAGGGCCTAGATCGATTTTTCTTTTCATTATGTTCTTAATATACCTTCGGTTACAAATATTATTTTTAGCGCAAAATTAGTTTATTGAACTGAAACAATTATTCTTCCAATTATTATAGATCAAAGAGGCAATTTTTTTTTACGATTTTAACGCTGTTCATAACGCGATGTTTTTGCCGTGATTTCATACAATTTTGCCACTCACAATGAACAAACAACTTTTATCGGCCTTTTATTCTTCGTGACGAAGCACGATGTCAGAACGTTTGTGTGAACTGAAACAAATCAGTCGTCTATCGATTCGCTCTGCTTCTAGTGGCACACCCTTTGCGAGTCATGAAAGCGCCGATAAGATGTGACACGTTCTCCATTACCGAATACAATTGCAATCAATCGTTGGCCTTAATATGCTCCAACTTGAAATCCGCCGCCCGTTTTCGTCGAGTAAACTTGCTCGCGAGTCATCGTATCCCTATTATCCGTCGAATTTAATTATGAGCACAATAGAGTCAAATTTTGGTAACCAGCAAGTCAGACTGGTAAGACGAAACGAGAGATTAGAATGGGAGAAAGAAGTGGAAAATGGAGCATTATACAGAGATCGTGCTCTGGTGAAGGCTGCTCTTTGTCGATAACGTTTCTATTACTGCTTGCAATTTACTTGATGCAATATGCAACGTGAACTTTGATCTATCTCAGAATCTATATTCATATTTTTGTAATTTCGTTCTCTTTTCTATCGATTCTCAATTGGAGACGCAGATAGGGAGTGAAAAGTTGTCAAAGCTGCTTAATCTACCATCTGCTACTAATCGAACAAGTTAGTTTTGTTGAATCGCGTACGACCAACGCGAACAAATATTGTGTGAATTGCAAATTTCCGTAACTCTTGATCCACTTTGTGACAAGTGACAAGTAGCATTAATAGCGCTTTGTGAAATGAAACTTGTAATTTATTTTGTCACGATTCCAACGCAAAATTATATATATTATTCTACATTTAAATATTTTTTACATATAATATTTTATAAACTAAAATTCCTATTGAGATATTTTATCTGAATAAAATGCTAAAAATCGTGAATATTCTTTGTCGAGAAGATTGAAAAAGAATGTAAACTTAAACTCAAAATTCGATTCGCTGCACTTTCAAGTATGCACGTTTCTCCCATGTGCAGGAATGCCGCGTGCAGCCGTGTTCATTCATGCACATGCGCATTTCGGAGGGATGGGTATATATGTGAATGTTCTTGATCCACTACATCCCGCATACATTGGCTTCATCCTGAAGCCGATTATCGTAAATTATTATATAACGAGACAACTCCCCTCAATTTCGCGATATAAATTATTAATTGATAATCGATATTACGTGGTGATAGTAGTAATTAACGAGACGTAGTAGATCGATTTTCTCGATTTGGATGGACAAAATTAAATTTCTAAAAAAAGCGTATTTCGTATAAAAGCACTTTTAATGAAAATTCATAATATTTCAAGTTTATCTCGACACTTGTAAAAGTGTTTCCGCCTCCCGATTTTGACCGATCATGTTCGATAAGATATTACATATTTATTTAATAGAGACACATTTTTATTTTACATATATTAGCAATTTAGATGCAGAGCACTATCATGTTTTTATGATCAACATTGAAATCTTACTCAATACTTACACATACATATATCCGATCTTAATTCTAATAATAAATATTTTTAATATGTTTTTCAAATATAACTGAATATAACAAAATATAAGAAAATAATTTTAAATATTTCTAAATAAGACAAATATTGCGTCAAATAAAATAAAACACAAATTATTTGTATTTTTAATTGTAATATTATCGTCAAACTTACCGCGTTATGTTGATCTTCGCCAGTCTATCAGATCTTTGTGAGTTTGTTACGAATCGGTTCCAAATAGCTCGCTTTTTTATGGCTTTTCACGGAGCATGAAATCTCAGCAACGTGACGCACGTAATAACTGCCAACAACGGATTGCTACTTTTGGCGTCTACTTTGCCGCGGGACGTTCCAATATACACATGTGTAAGGCTTCCCGGCTTGGTAAGCTCATTACAAGATTTTGCGACAGTGCCGAAGATTCTCGGCTTGCGCGTGATGACCTTTTGAAATGTTTCTAGTAAATTCAATACTATACAACTACGCTGTTGTATTATATTTTTTTTGCAACGTTTGCAATCTTGTGAATAAAAATTTGGAATATATTAAGACTACATTTCGTTACATATACGTGACAATTATTTAACAAATTATATTTATTATAATACTATTCAAATATTATTAAGACTTCTAATGATAAAATGCTCAAGAATCTGATTAATTTTCTATTTTTTTAATTATTTAAACGTCAAAAATATGATATTTTAAATAAGGGTGAAAAGGAAATAAAAATTATCATATATAACTATATACATATAACTCTAACAAGATAGATTATTAGATTTATATAAAAAAAAGTTGACATAAATCGAAAAATGATATAAATCTGCAAACAATGCAAATTTTTCTTATAAGTTTGATAATCGAATTTATCTTGTGAAATTCAACTTCTCTCTTTATTATATTTTTCTTACCTACGTATGTAAATTAATAGCGCAATCTCGACTTAAACAGTTATTTTATGATACACAATCTGGTAATTATCATTCGCGAGCGGTTATAAATCACCGCTGAAAGGTTTGAAATCCGGCGTTGTCATCTTCCGATCGATTAGATCGCACGCACATATTTTCCATATGCTTCGCGAAGAAGCTCGATTAATCATGCGAGCTATCTAAAATTATGAACGGTAGAGATACGTGGTTTCTACTTCTATTCAGAGGACATGTATAAATAGCGTCGGAGTGTCGACTACAATGCGAGCAAACGAACACTCGCATCATCGAACACTTTCTGATGACAGAGTTATTCAGAGATATTGGTACAAATATAATTTCCTGTCGAAGAGAGATATCGGAAAGAGATTTGTTTCGGGATACGTTGGAAACAAACGCCCACGCTTATGCAAAAAAATAAGAGAGCTCGCAAATGCGCATGAGGGAATAAGGGAATTTATTGCAACATTTATGGCGGAAAACCCTTTTTGTCTTCTAAATGTTTCAATTTGAATGGCGGTAACATTTTTTGGTGCGAATTTTTATACGAAAAGCGTCCGTGTATAATAAAAAAAAAAAAATATAAAGTATTAATTCGGTGGAATTATTATGAATCATTCGCGATTTATGGACGAGGAGCATTTCCGTGAAATAAAGTTAAAAATAATGCGAACGTGAATGGGATTCATCGAATGCTTCGCGACCGGAATAAGAATCCCGTCGTCTCCATCAAAGCCCTCCGGGGACTTGTTTATTCTTGGCGGAGAGATTGACTCGTAACACGGTTATCTCCGGTACTTCGTTTCGCTGATAATGCCAAAGGATCATAGATGTATTTCTCACTGACAGCGACGGACGACCCGGTATGTTTGATGCAATTTTCTCCGAAAGTATTACTCGCGCCGTCATGGAGCATCGAATATCGATATACAAAGTTTCAAAGTGATCTTCATCCAAAGAATCTTGCTCGTTATTAAAAACATTATAAATCTCGCTTCAAACACTCGTATCGCTAAACGCAAATTCTTGTGGGATTTATAATTTTTAATCTTCGAATAATTATAAA